CTTTTACAGCTCCTTCAACCTTGCTCACCGTGCAGGAGCATAAAGACTTGTTGTCCCGCTCCAATTTTAAAGATGAGGGCTCTTACAATGATAAAATAACAGGGTTTACGACTGGCAAATAAGCACTTTGTGTCCGTGTCAAAGACGTGTCGGAGAGCTTTGTAATCCATAGCTCACATGCATGGCCGCCTCCCCTCGCTTCTGTTGATTCGTTTTGAACTTTATGCTGGAGTTGTGTACAGCCGCTCTGTAACGTCTGACGGAGGAATTAAAAGCAAAGCTATTTTGGATGTACACAACATTTTGTTATGCATGTGTGTATGATTTAAGGGTGTGTTTGTTCTATGAGTGTACAGGGTGTTAAGCATATATGCATATTTAATATTACATTACTGCAACAACAGTGACTACACAATGTTTTGGGGTACTTATACAAATTGTAAATCAAGTGCTGTGCCTCAGTGATTGTGAATGTACATTGTACTTTTCCAAGAGAGATGAGAGAAGATGTAGAAAGCAAGCTATTCCTCAAAACAGGAGCACAAATAAATGCTTGGCAATAATGAACTAGTATTGTAAATTACAAAGGAATGATCAGAATAGTTGTCTATTTTTGTATGCATGCCGTCTACCTAATTGTTTGTAAAACAGTTTTGTATTTCAAAGTGCGTTCGGTCTGGAGAGTACTGGTGTCGACCCTTTCCTTCACCGCGTTGTGTTTTTGACACTTATTTTACAATTTGCCCCTTAAAATTGCAAGAAGATGATTTTTTTTAAGTGTTAAGAGGAGTAACTGTATTTATTAAGTGTTTAATGTACAAGCATGCTTTGTATAACTAAAACACATTACCATGCCATTGGAAATTGACTGACATTGCACAAGTGTGACATATTGTAGCTATGTTACTTTTTTATTGAATAAAGTATGGCAAGGGCACACTGAAGTAAGACCCGTTGTTAAATGTTTTGTCTCATAATCACATTTACTATTTTTAGACAAAGGATATTAATAGTGTGCAATATAATACACATGCAATCAGTGTATATGAAGCCCCAAGCTCTCCTATTCTGTAGGATATGATGATTCACAAAGAATTACACAGAAGAGGATCAACACAGGAAACAGTGTAAGTATGTACACAAATATCCATTATGGAATCTCATATTTACAAAAAGTAAACCTGTTGGAGTGAAACGGGAATAAATTGTTCCACTTCAACTGGTTTAAGATGCTGAAAGGTGACTTAAAAACAGTGGATAATTTGCTGCAGTGCTGTAATATAAGGTTCACTCCAGAGACAATAATAATAACTGAATCATGCGAGGCATACACATATAACTAACACAAAGAGAAGACATGTTTACCTTGTCATGGCCTGTATGATGGCCTCTGCCTCTAAGACATTTACACACGTCTTCAAGGCGGAAACAGCACATGCAGCACAACATTGCCTTTGAATTAGTGCATTTAGATGTTAGAAAGGTTAACTTAAGTTCTGGATGATAGACAGTGGTTCTGGTTACCAGGATTATGTGTGTGGGAAGATTCAGTGTGAGAGGAAGAGCTGTAAGCTACAGTAACTTTTATGTTTTTATGTTTTTACACATGCCTTTGTTGACAACCAATAGTTTGCACAAAGCATGATGAGAAATCACATAAAACAGTTGCATACATATGAGCATCCTGATTATTGTAAGGTGTCCTAGAGTGTCTTTATTTTTCTACGTAAAGAGCTCTATTTTTTTCTGTTGAATCTTTACATTCTCTGCACATTCTCCCATAAATAGACAACATAGAATACAACACATGGGGCACAGGGAATTAGCTAATTTCACAGCCACATTCTCATTTCTCTATAGATGACACTATACCATATTGATATTGTCATCTTGTCTTGTGATACCGTACATAATGGTACATCAAGGTGTACAGCAAGGTGTTCCACATATTCATCCTCAGTCGGCTTTTAAAGTAAGATTCTTCACACTTTTCCTGTAAAACCCACAAATAATATTCAGTAATATTATATTATATTGTTATTGTATTCATCGGCACACAGTATTGGGCACATACATATTTGTTTTTCGTGTTTGTGTGGCGAAAGATTATAATTTTATTGAAATCAACCTATTACATTACTCATGTGGACAAGTAAATGCACATGCATGTTGGGTTATATATACATGTATATATATATATATATATATATATATATATAAATTGTATATATATAAAACCCGAAAAAAACACTGCACTACATACGTATTGTTTCTGATCTAATGTGATGGAGCAACATGGAGAGACAGACTATTGCATCTGGTTGCAAGACAGCACACTTTTATGACTATTCTGACCTATAATCCTCTGTGGATGTGAGAAACAGGGTCAAAGTTCAAGGTGCAATGTTGTGATAAAGTAGTGTGTCCCAATTGAGTGCATACTGCATGCAACAGTAAGTACTTTGTAAGGGCAGCTGCAGTTTGTACTACAAGTAAAAATAAAAAGTTTGGGATGTGTAACGGAGCCAATATTTTTGTTATTAAACAAAACAAAAGCAAAAGACTGATATAATCTAAAGAAATATTTCCCCCATGATGTTGCAGGTACTTGGTACATTCCGATTGGCCACTTCCTGTATTTAAGAGCTCTGCTTTAGAGGGCATGTTGTTTGCTCCGGCCAGATGTCCCTCCAGCAGCACCATCAGTACTGGTAACTCAAATAAATTGAAATTAGAAAAACCTCAACTAAAGTGTTACTGTGCAGAAGTTGTGAGCGCTACAAATAGAAACTAAAGTGCCAAAATTACAATGATGTGTGAAACAAAAGCTATGCGTTATCTATCTGTTCACCAGTGGTGGGCCGTCAGGGCCAGCAAAGCCTTCTCTGCTGGCCTAAACAGAATCACAAAGTTATAGCTATTTTATAATTTAATCATTTTTCACAAATACACTACATGTTTTATAATTTTTTTCCCCATTAGCTTATTTTCTCATTGCACAGCTCCTGTCTTCCTCTGTTGCTCTGCTTCCAGCCTGCAGCACTGCTTCCAGCACAGCTTGTTTTAAAAAGAGCTTTTATCCAATCAGATTCAGCCCCTATGTCTCTATGTAAGGAGAGGCCAGATGCCCGCTAGAGAGCCTTTGCAGTTTAAGTGAATGGGGACGATATTGTTGATTGTCATAGTCTTCAACCAATCAGATCTTTAGTTTGACATGTTGGGCGTATTCTTTGACGTGTCAAGTTTACCCCATTAACACAATCAGCTTGTTATGTCACTTCAAATGTAGGCCCTGGAATGATGCCCTTCAGCCCTCTGACATTGTGTACTGCAGGACACTCTGGGCGCAGAGAGGTAAAACCCTGATCAGAGATTCTGATCACAGGCCAATAAGCCTTCAGTTTTTTTCTATAATCCTGCACAGAAGGTCATCCAAACAGGCGGAAATCCTCATGTATAGTCAATTTTCAATTCATTTTCTCACTCACTGTCACTACTTTCAAGCTCCGGTCTAACACAAATACAAAAGTAACCATAATGTTGAACAAATATTGAATACTTTGTCCGTATTTTTGAGTGCAATCATATAATTTGGGTGTTTTACAATATTTTGACAGCAGCTACTGTCTACTTGAATCCAGTCCCAGTGCTGTAAATTGTTGGTTGTAGGTATTATCCACATGTCATATTTGAAATCGATTTATTGAATCTGAGTGACGAGTGAATACTAGGCTTCGAAAATAATTTGACAATGTGTGTTTTCTCTTTTTCCTCTCTTCCCTCCCTGTCTGAATTTCAATTGCCACTCCACTTGGCTCTGAATTACGTTTGGGATTTGTGCAGTTTATTGTTGCTTCATTCATTATTTTATAATATGAACAATGTTAAATGGTCAGGAAATGTATGTTAGCTTCCCCTTCAGTTTGTTGGTGTGATATGTTTTCTGAGACAGCTGGAGCTGCTGCAAAGGTTACTGCAGACTATTTAGACTTGTTCAGTGACAAACATGCAACAACCTTGAAAACTTGGCAGTACCTGATGCCAACAGTGCATGAGCCTGTGTTAAACTTCCTGGTCCATAATGCTTTATGGCAGGCGTTGTCAGACTTAACAAATTAGGCTTTAACTATAGGACAGGTAAAGGTCTAATTTTACTGAAGTATGAATACAGCATAAATAAAAGACATGCCTTGTGCTGAAACTGTTTTTGCAGTTTTAAAGCAATAACCCTTTCATTGTTGAACAACTGGATGCTCAAAGAAAATATAGTTTTCATTATGTCTTTCCTCTTCAAACACACATATATTCTTATGATATTCAGATTTGTTTCTGTTGACATTAATTACAAAACAAACTGGTACAGTGCACAATTTTAATTAACACATGAATGCAGTGCAACAAATGATAAGAAAATGTTATGAGAAATGACTCAGGGACGACAAGGGATTCCAACTGTTTGTGTTAGGTCTGCCAGTCTTCACCTTAATTTAAAACTGTCTGCCTCTTCTTATTAAAGGTCTAAAAAAAGCTTTTGACAATATAATGTTAAACTTACTAGAAGACAAAGTAAGGGGAGGGTCGATAATGTGTGTGCACAATCATGTATTATAAATGCGACAAAGTAAATGCAATCCTGTCCAATGAAAAATGATATACTGTACACATATTTCATTTATTTCTGACACAGAAGTGTTTACTACCATAAATATCAGTTAACACAATAGTATATCATATATTCAAGTGTTTACAAATATGGCTTTTCATCACTTCCAAATCTGAACCACGGCTTTGAGTCACAAGATGTTTAATTCAGTTTATCTTTAGCATCATAAAAGTAAAGGTAAAGACTCCAAGGCAACAAAAAAGGTTAAGGGAACACAGATGGCCTTGGGAGAGTAACCACTTCATGAAAACCATTACTAAGAAATGTTGTTACACATTTTAATATGAAAGAGTTTTGCCCTCAGTATAGCGTCTGAAGCACTAATATGTGTATGTATTTAAGCTACAACCGCCTTTGCTAAGTTTGTTGGCAGGATCTTGTATCTAACAAACAGATTCAGTATATGAACTCTTACTATTTGAGTACCGAGTCCATACAGCACCGGGTTGGCAATAGATGGAATGATGACAAAGTACAGGGACATGAAGATTCGTGTCTCAAAAGAAACACGAATCATGTCAAATCTAGTTTGGATCATTTCAAATAATAAACCGATGGTGTAGATTAGCAAAGACAACAAATGTGGGATACATGTTTTAAGAGCATTTCTCTGGGACTCTCTTGATAAATTCATACACACTCGTGAAATTTTCACATAAGAGAAAGCAATCATCACTACCTGAGGCACAATAAACAACGGGAGAATTACAAGTCCCACCGTACTTATGTACAATTGGCTATCATTTGAACATGAATTTTTGACTAGCTCCATGTTCACACAGTATAATTTTTGCATGACTTTTCCACAAAAGCTCAGCTGCAAGGTTAGTGAGTAAAAACATGCAAACACAATGAGTGGGTATAGACCTGCTAATGCAACAAGCTTGGCTACCTTGGAATTAGACATGATGCTGTGGTAATGTAGTGGGAAACAGATGGCAGCATATCTGTCATAACCCATAACAGCTAAAATTAAAAACTCAGCAGCTGCGTATGTGTGTAGGAAATAGACTTGAGCCATACACCACTTCACAATTACTTCATGCGTCTCGGACATGAGCACAACCATAATTGCAGGTAACAACGAAGTACTGCCATATATTTCATTGATGGATAACATACATGTGAACACATTCATAGGTTGATGCAACGCTTTGTTTTGGTGTATGACAGTAATGAGCAGTGAATTCAAAATGATAGTAATAGAGTAGAGCAGGAGGAACATAGTGAACAGCCCATGTTTGTAGTTTTCCATGACAGTGTATGCAGTCATTGTGAATGTTAGAACTGTTGTATTGTCCATGTTTCAATTTTGAAAAGACAGACGTGTTGAAATTTAACACAATTTCACTTGCCAGAAGATTATGACACGCATTTTGTGGACAGAAAAAGTATTTTGAAAATGGTATTAATGAGTGGTTGGCAGCAAACATCACCTAATTTAAACCAAACTTGACAGTTTTTATGAAGAATTTGAGCCTAAAATCACCAGGCAAGCAAACATTTGTTAACCAATGTAATTAGAAACTGCAATAAGTACTTGCTTAGTAATTAGTAACTGGTTCAGAAACAAACAGTTAGTCTTCTCTCTCTCTCTTGAGTTACCTGCATGACCGTCATCTCTACGCAGCGTGTGCAGCTTAAAGTTTGGGCTGCCTTTAAACATTGCTCACAGTAGACCAGTGGCGTGTTATTCATTTGTTACCACAGTTACCAAAGTGCCCGTTGTACAGCAGTCCACCTCGCCTGTGTTTGTGTATGTGTGTAAATCGGCCATTACTTGTGGCCTATAACACTTTTCTGATGCTACCCAGAGGCGAAATACCTATTTCCATGTTTAATCCAAGAAAAAAACTCACAACTCAACCTTTACCAGACAATCAGAGAGTGGCATCAAGTTCTGCTAAAGTAGCAGTACCCAAAATTGTCCACAGACCAAAAGGGGTCCGAAAAGAAAAGAAAAACTAGAGGCAAACATTAGGGCACAGCACGGCCTCAAAGATGGCTGCCGCTGCAGTCATACTCCAAGTGAGAAGGCTGTGCTTTCTGCAAAACATGTGAAAGCACACACTAGACACAATCAATGCAGGTATTTTCCCAATCACCTGTGAGTGGGAAGTCAGAAAGCTTCAAGTTGCATCGGAGGTTAACCGGGACAAAAAATAGTTCAGTTAAAGAGTACAGCTGCCATCCCAACAAATGCAGCACTGATGGCGATAAACCTGAATTCCTCCACTGATGCCGTTAAGGAAGAGCTTCACCAGAACTAATATCTGGCCTTTCCGTCCATTCAGGCAAGACAAGGCCTCCCAAAACTAGAGGACTGAGTCAGGCAGTTGTGAGACTTTGCACTACAAAGCATTTCACAATGTGTTTAAGTTACAAAAATGACTGCTAGACATTCATGCCTGACTCTGTAGCAGAAAAGAAAAGTGTGGCGTCAAAGTGATGTTTATTTATGTGCAACAGCCCTTTGCAGTCCTGAATATCAGCACCGTGTGTTCAAATGTCATATTTTGTTGTAGTACTTTTGTTTTACTGTGTTCCAAATGTTAACATTTCCCTAAAATTCGAAACTTTTCTGTGTGACCTCTACCAATCAGATAAATCAATATATAATCTACCGCTAATTCAAATACCACAAATGCCTTAAGAATGTATTTTTTCAGCAGCGATGATGTCAGCCATAAGTGCATAAACACACTCATTAGAGGTTATTTGTCCAAAGCAATTAGACAACATTGTTTTGCCACATGTCAGGTGAGACCTCTTTGGACAGCACCTTGAGAATAGAGACGAGGGATGAGAGGAAAAACACTAATGACTTCCCTTGGGAGAACACTGATGCAACACTGATGAAACTATCCGAGGGATCGTGACCTTGGAGCTAATGCAAATCGCACCGATAATTTGTTCAGACATTTATTTCTGTGTATCTTTTCAAATCCCGATCATACTTACACCTGAAATTTTGTGGTGACAAATTGATTTCATTTACATTTACTGGTGGCTGTGGCTCAGGAGGAAGAGCGGGTTGGCAATTTATTGGAAGATCGGCGGTTGGATCCCTAGTTTCTCCAGACGCATGACAAAGTGTACTTGGGCAAGATACTGTACCCAATACTGAACCCCAAATTGCTCCCGGAGTGTGTGTGTATGTGTGAATGCGTATTTGTTTACACCCTGTTGAACATGTGGCACCTGGTATGGTAACCTTAGATGGTAGCCAAACCTTGTAGACTAGTATTTTACTTGTGATATACAACTCCATTCAGATGCAGCTCCTCTACTTCACTGGTGATCCTAAACAGCAACAATATTAGTGGAAGCAGTGGTATTCTGGATTGGGTTTGATAATACAATCAAGTGGCAGTGTGAGGTGTAAGGGATTGCTAGTGGTTTTGTTGGGTTCGGTTTGTTTCTAACCAAAAGTACTGTGTCTCAACACTGAGGCAGTAATTGCTGCTCAAAATCAGACTTCATCATAACTTGATTAACTAAATGCGTCACTATGTTAATGGTAAATTTGCGACCCTCAAAGGAGGCCTCAAACTAACCATTGGCTAAATTAAAGGCCACAGTCCTCAAGTTGGCAAACTCAAGCGGCCAATCTTGATGTCAGCACCTTGAGTTAGTGGTGGACAACTGTTTGACATGGTCAGAGCAATTAGTTAGTGGGCTCACCCTTGCATGCACACCCTGTACCATGAATAATCCACTGACAAGGAAGGTGGTGGCCTGTGTTATGGGGGCCTTGCAGGGTTGAACATCCAGGGCGTTGGCGATGGTGAGGAAGTTGACGGCTACAAGGTGCATCATATACTGTAAGTGTCGTTAGTTGCTGTCTTCAAAGGAATGGCGCGTCTTAACTGAACCCAAGTAGCTTTGGCTTTCTCCAGCACCCTTGCTTCTTGAGTCCTCTTGTCTCCAATGGTGCAGTTCTCATCTCTTTTGTTTATTGCAGTTAATTTGCGTTAACATGTACACACAGACAGAAACTGAACATATTTGATGATGATGATTCTTTCTGGGAAGGTTTCACATGCTGAACCTGAAATTTAGATGCTAATGCTGTTTACAAAATGCTCTCCTCTACACACGCGCTCTCCTCCACAAAAACAGATTCTACTTCACTGAAGTTGTAAGTGGAGCCTACGTCCTAAATCTCAAAAAGCAATGAGGGTTAAATATCTGCATGGGTTTTAAATCAGATGGAAAACAACCAGCTTCTTGGGAACGTCTGTCTCTTGTCACATGACAAACATGTGGTCACGAGTTTGGCACAGTGCTGCAAGTTTCTTAAATGTGATTAAGAAAAGCATGCTCTCTTTAGGAGTCTTGTAACTCTGTAATATAAAAACCAAGTGACCAGTATGCTGCTTCAAATTATCTTCACTCCACCCCACTGACCAAAATACAAGCGGACCTGGGCCTGATCCTCATTTTGGAGCAACAGTATCAGACCCAAGGATGTCTTGTTATCACGTGGTTGTTTTGGCGCTCTTGGTTGTGTTGCTGCTTAACGGTAAGTCTTAATGAAACATCTTTGCACGTTTTTTGTTGCCCTAATCTGCATGTTTACGCTTCCAGAGATTATTGATCATTTTACTGCAAAATGATTTGATATTACACATAGCTTCGATGTTTCCCATCATTACAGTTGTGGAGAATGAGGCTGCATCCTTTCCTTGGTCTTGCCCCAGTCTAAGTGGAGTGTGTAGAAAGGTTTGCCTCCCAACAGAACTCTTCTTTGGACCTCTGGGCTGTGGAAAAGGCTTCTTGTAAGTTTCGATGTTCAGATGCAAAATGTTAATATATATATTTGCTGATGCTGATTGTAATATGTTGTTACTTGTTTATTCCCAGGTGCTGTGTGTCTCATTTTCTATGAGAGCTGAATGCCTTGAGATAGGAATGAATGCCTGGTCCCTCTTTGCAGTCCTGAAAAATGTCATTCTGCCACTCTAGCAGACTTGTAAACCATCAAGATGAGACTGACAGATGCCGCTGTTGTAAATGATCATATTTAGATTTTAACGCTGATGTAACAGGGTGGACTTTGGAATATTAAATTAACTGCTTGTAGTTTTTTTGTTGCTTTTAATGCAGTTGAAATGGCTGAGGTGGAGTAAAAAATGACATTCAATTTCCTTGCTTGTTTTGTATTTTTTACATGTAACTTTAGTTTACTTGTCTGAATAATAGAAAACAAAGGTGATGCATGTTTTTTTGGAAGAAGAACTCAAGGATGCACAAGAGACAATAAGAGACTCGTTAGAGCTGCATTCTTTACAGGCCAATGGCTCAGAGTGCATTTCAATCCCTGCTGTGCAAAAGGACCAGTGGTTGATCTTTATCATTCACCATCAGTTCATGATCTTAGATGTAATCCAACAATATAACTCTGACTTCAGTCGAGTTCACTCGCTACTCTAATTGCATTCGCAAAATAGTCCATAAGAGGTTTTGATGAAAGCAACCATAACCATCCATGTTCGTTGAGTTGTATTGCTAAAGAAGGATTGCAGAAAAGCCCTAAAAGGAGGAAGAAAAATAATTGTGTGACTTTTATAAGTCCACATGACATTTCTATTTGTATTCCATAAGAATGTATTACATAATGCCATTGCATAAATGCAAATTCATTCTTGCATCATTTAGTGACATGATTATGAAAGGGTGCAGTGGGACCCTATGGGTCAGGGTCTGTACTAACTAGCTCTGGGAGCTGACTCTCACTCTCACTTTCTTAGTGTGGATGTAGCCTCAGGGGAGGTTTATAACTCCTAAAGGCAAGTACGTAGCTCTTTGCTGGGAGGTTTGAGAGGAAGCAAATTATGTGATTTTCACATTTTCATCACATTTAGGCTACCCACAAACTCAGCTGGGGGTAAATGTCGACAAACCTGATAGATTAAAGCTTTTCAGACAGCACATCGTTTTTCACTTTACTGTTCACTTTGCTGAGACAAAGACACTACCCTTATAATGAAGCACATGGGGAAAATGTTCAGTCACTCAAAGGTTTTAGACTTTAATCTTTTGACAAAGCATTCATGGAAAAGATAAAAATGATTGAGGATTTCCTGACTTTTAATATGCTACAGAAGTTTGATCAAATATTCCCCTAACCAACGCTTTGGTATCATATATGTTATTGGTTCCTCAAAGATGACTCCCTTTCTGGTTGTGCTCCTGACCTTCCCTCTACCGCCGCCGTGAGACCAAAATGTCCACTTATAAACCAGCAATATCAAATTCAAATGGATAGATTTATAAGCTATGGGACAAAGTACAATATATATGAATATGTAACGATGTGTCATTGCTTATGAACTATCTGCATCCATACAACTAATGGGGCCCTATTTAGCATGTGGAACTGCAGGTCATGACATTTTTGTTGTTAAAGCCATCAAAGGTTGGTTTTTTTTCCCCATAAAAGTAATTTGTGCTCAAAGTGCTCGACCATCTCTCACGGCAGTGCTGCCCTTCACCAAGACAGGATGGTTTTTGATTAAGATGTAAACTCCATTTTTGTTTATTTGATCCACTCCATATCGATGTTTTGTGGCCATAACTCCTCCCACTCTCTGTAGTGATTTAAAAAAGAGGCCACACTCTTGTATTAAGGACACATCTGACTTAAATGAGTTGAGAAAGGATAAAATAGTCTAGGCTCTAACTGTCAACTTCACCCTGGGACAAAATCATATAAAACAGGTGTTTGTGGTTTAATTTGTATCAGTTTAGAGGTACTTGACGGGAAAAGGTTTTCACCTTACAGCAATGATGGCCGTCCATATCAAATCCATCACTTTACTGTACAGCTGCTTTACATAATCAGACTTCTGCAATTGAATTTGATTGATATTGAAATATTGATAATTTACTATTACCAATAATCAAAATGTATGTAATTTACCTAACATGTATGCGACATGACTGAGATTTATATTCAATGTTTTGAGTGTGGTGCAGCGTTCCTGGAGATACTGCAATACCAGGTCGATGGGCAGAGTGGACGGAGCAAGCCCCTGTTCAATCTCCCTGTTCCAACATCTATCTAGTATATGGTCTCCAGGTCGGGGATGTATCAAATATTAAACTTTATTGAACAAAAGTGCAAAACAAAGCACAGCACAAGGATACAATTCCCGTTACAAGAATAGAATATGGCCGGATGCACGATGCGAACAAACAAGAGGGCATAAACAAAGGTAATCCTGCCTTGTTTGCAAACACATTCTTACTCCCAACACGTCAAATACTGACGCTTGGTCACTGTCCCTAAGCTTCACACTGTGAAGCTCTAGTTACCCCTCTAGCGTCAGCTTTGGACATGTCAGGGACCGAGTGCAACAGTTTCCACTAATTACATTGTGTCTTTATAAAATCAATTTCCGTATTCAGGCAACAAAAGCACTTAGTTAGGTTTGGTAAAAAGCATCATTGAACTTAAATAACTTACAACTCGGGTGACCACCGATTCATATGGCAATATGTCACTTTTACTTTTACTTTTGCTCAGGACACACACTGTTGTCTCTTGGACGGAAGCCCTGTGTTTGTGTTTGACCCATTCACCTCCCCTCCCAACCACTCTGTGTGGACTAACTTTCTTTTTATACTAGATCAGTTGCTCTGAGCATCTGTATTTGATGAGTTGGGAGTAAGACCAGGTTGTGCATGCAGTGATCATGGACACGACTGGACAGAGATTCACACCGTCTATCCTGCTCCAGTGTCAGCCTTGTGATAGCCGAGGATCTGTCAGAAACAATCAATGCTCCTAAAAAATGTTTAGTGTTTTGCTTTGATTTATTTTTTACCCTGATGCAAGTCTTTTAATGTTTTGAGAGCTTCTTTCAGACTAATGCAATCTGCTGCATGCCGTCCGAATACTGTGCACCGATCGAAAATGTGAAAAGAAACTTTGAATCATAAAATAACAACATACTGAGCTGTAGCAAACTCTAGTGGAGAACAGAGTGAACTGCTCTCAGCAGCCAGTAGTCAGCAGGGTAAGAAATCTGTACTGTACGTAGAACACATCACACATCCAGCTTTGTTTATTGTTTGGGATGTATACAGTACTTGGGGGGAAATGCTTTGGTTCATATTCCAGTATCTTTGTATTTCTATATTTAAATATAAAAAAACAGATTACAAAAATATTTTACAAAAGAATACTGCATATATGTAGTAAGTGTAACTCTTTAACGTACAACAGACATAAGTCCCCGATAAGGCAATTATACTAGTGTTTTACATACAATATACATATTTTTCGTCTTATGTCAGTGCGTGTTTTTGGATTTGTGTGTAGAGTTCTGAGAATGTGAGGTGTGCTTTTAGAAAATGTGTGTACACAATTGAGAAAAACTGTAAAAGACAGAAAAAAAGATAACCAAACAAAACTGTAGGAGCCAAGTATAGCCTGTGTCATTTTGTACACCTTTTTTGGTCACTTACGGTAATTGAGTCACGTGGTGTTGGGGACAACAATGAGGATATCAGCTGTTCAGTAGTTTAGTTTTGTGAATGGAAGGTGAGAGAGGGAGCCCTCAGAGGGATGTTTCATTAAGGTTGTTTCATGAAGACGCTCAGAACTGATCAGAGCTTGAATTCATCAAAACGTCTGAAAGGAGGAAATGAATCCCAACTGGACAAAAGTTGTGGGAGTGACACATTCTTCTTTTAGGATGGCGAGTTCAAAAAGTTGATCAACTTTCCTAACTTGTGAAGTGACTCATACCTCAGCTGAAGTTACTCAGAGCTGCAGAGAAGTTTGAACCTGTCAGCAGCTGCTGATGGAGCTCACACTGATGTTTTGGAAACACGTAAATACTTTAAACTTATTCAAAGATCTTTTGGACAAAAAGCAGAATAATATTATTAATTGATGCCAAAATTGGAGACACTTAGAGCTGCTTGGTAGCTGAATGGTCACAGCACATGCTGCTTAACTGCGAAGTGTTAGGTTCAATTCCATATTTAGACCTTTTATTGTACATGTTTTTTTCTTTAAAAGAAGACAACTGTCCTCATAAATCCATATAAGGGATTGTTACCCCTTAAAAACCTTAAACCATAATCCATCAAAAATGGTCAAATAAATGTATTACAATATGTCAAATTATATTTGATACAGAAGGAAAAGACAAACTGTGCAGGATGGTGTCAAACCCATAACCTTCAGACTTTGAATCAGTCCGTCTACTTGCTGAGCTATGAAGAAGCACTGAGAAGAATGTTTGAGTGTGAACATGTTTGAGTGTGAACAAGTTTGAGTGTGAATGTGTTTCAGTCTGTAAACTTTGTTTCTCTGCAGGATGATGAAGGTGAATTTTCTTCAGTGGTTAAGGAAACCAACCGGCGACATCAGGAAGTGGAATTGACTTTGCATCAATTTAAACTTGCAAATTTCATCCAGGAGGAGCATGTAAATCCAGATGGTCAATCCAGCCTAATTGACAATTATTCATTTTTTGCTATAGTTACTTAAAGTTTATTCCACTGTCCCCACAGGAATTCTATCAGGGGCCCTATCACCTGTCGATGCTGGTGTGTAGACAGGAGCCTGAATGATTGGATGATCTGTTTATTTGAATGCAGTGAAACTGGTCTGTCCCTGTCTGCGTGCGTTTCTATGTAATACAAATAGAGATGGACCATGGAAAGCCAAGAGCACGCACTGTGCATGGCTTTCTCGGGAGAACATGAAGCCTCGCGGGCACTCAGTTCGTTGCTGTTCATTCTTGTGGCCGCTGGTGGCGCTGTGGGCCAGTATGCTGGCGAGTCAATCTGCCATCAGAACACGAAGAAGAGCCTGGGAGCAAGAAGCAACAACAAACAAACCTAACAGCAAGCTAACGCATCTGATTACACAGGCAAAGTGTGTCCTTTGCGGTGGACACACATATTGTTGGTTCATACTTACTGCGTATGATACAAAGAAGACGTAACTGCTCTTTGCTCGTACTAGCCAAACGTCAGCTAGCAGTAATCCTCCCTGCCTTCGTCGTTCTTGAGTGGGATGATAGGGTCATCGAGAAAGTAGCGCGATGCTTTAAGTAATAACACATTTAACGTTGATCATTTTTCCACGGTGGCATGTGAGACGACTGGGTTTAACGTTACATCACAATCTTCACGGTGCCGACATTCGCAGGAGACCAAGGTATGTCGCTAACAAAGTTACACACAATAACACTAGCCCGATAACTTTTGTTATGCTCTTTTGTTCTTTTGTATTTTGCGTGGGACGTTGACAATACTCGAGGTTATAACGGTAACGAACCTGAACGTCAATGACAGCCCAGCGCTTCAGACAAGCTCCTTCAACGTAACTATTAATAGCTTAATCGCCTGCCAGGAGTAGCAGTAACGTTAGCTCAGTGATGTTTCTCAGGACGTGTGAAGAAAACATTAGCTCGCTAATGCTACATAACTAGCATTACAAGAAAAGCAACCGCAGCAGATTATTCCTCCACTAACGTCACGTAGGCAGTTGCAACAACATTTGGTGTTGCGTTAATTAAACATACGAACAGTAGATTTCAGCGTGTTTTTATGTTAGTAACTTTAAAAACAAGAGGCAGGACTTTGGGTTGATTGCTGTCTAGTGCCACGAAGTGCTCTAGTGCTCCATACAGGACAGGCCCTAGAACACGTGAACTATAATCTCTGTGTTAACACCTTGCCTACCAGGATTGCGTTTATTTTACCTGCTAAAAATAGCAGTGATGACAAGATCGGGGGTGAAACTGTTTATTTCACTCTATTGTGTTGGTCATCCTTTATAGTTTTTTCCAGATCTAATTGTAAAAGTAAACAAAGAGATTCCCTATTTAGTTTTTTGAGCAATTGGCTTTGTTGACAATCTGTATTTGTGTCTCTTACGCGCTGCTGCGTTATTGAGCAGAATCGTTTCTTCAGTGTTATTGATTCCAATAACAGGTTAACAACAAGCATCCAGACGCGTTGGTTGGTTCAAGACTTCATTTTAAGAGTAAACCCATATCAGCTTAGCACCAAGATAAACAAATGTTTAAACGTTTCCACGTGACCACAACCACTCGAATGATTTGTTATACCAACTGCAGATAAGAAAAATAAAGGTATTGTTTTGCAGATGATCAAACCTGTGCAGACTATAGTTAAAAGAGCTCGAGAGGACATTAGTATTCTCACAAAGTAACAGCATTGCATTCACTTTTAAAAGTACGTGGCTTAGGTTTGCTCTGCTACTCCATGACAATAGAGCGAGGAGCCAGTTTACGGTTCCCTTTTTAACATAACCATTGGCTTATTTCCAAAGGTTTACCACCTGAAGTGTCTATTTGCATTATCATGTTAATGCCAGGCTGTAACCCAACTACTAGGTCAGCTTCAACCTGAAGCATTCCCCCCCTGGTTGTGACGGATTACTCACTCTAGATTGCGATGTGTTACTGTTCTATCTTTGTCACAGTTTAGTGCAACTGTAAGCGACCGAGGATGGCTCACCATGGTGTGTGGTGCGCAGGAGCTCGACTGAGTGTCCTTGTCGTGGTTTTCTGCAGCGTACTGGTTCCCTCACCCACACAGGCCTATATCTATGCTGTAAGTAATCTTCAAGCTTTAACTATAAATATGATTCCTTCGATTCCACTGGAGTTTATGTGAGTTCTTATGTATTTGTTGTTGTTTTTTGCAGCATTATAGCAATATGACCTCCATGCTGTTTGAGGACCTGCCTGCCTTTTTTGGTTCCCCTCTTCCTAAGGATGGACTAATGGTGAGAGCAGAGTATTGGAGAAAGGGTGCATATATGAAAACACAGGTCATAGTCCTTAAAATGACTTTTTTTGTGTGTGTGTAAAAGGGAGTTTTGATGGTGTCCCGTCCACTTAATGGCTGTACAGCAATAGACCCTCCTCCTCCACTGCCACCGTCCTTTGATGCCAACACCACCAAATTGATCGCTCTCATCAGACGCTACGACTGCAATTTTGACATAAAGGTCAGTAATATTTGAAGATGTTTTCGTGTCCGTGAAGCGAACTGCTCTAATGTGAGGAACTGATTTTCAGATCTTGCACGCACAGCGAGCTGGATACAATGCTGTGATAGTTCACAACATGTACTCGGACAAGCTGCTCAATATGAACTACAGCAATGGTACGTCTCTTTTTATAAATTGTACATATTTTAAAAAAATCTTACATAATCACACCACATCGCACTGAAATGGCAACATTTTAAATATTTTTTCTTTATTTTCCAGAGACTATTGCAGAGGAGATTGACATCCCATCTGTATTCACCAGCTACTATGCCTCCCAAATTCTCAGGAATTTCATAATTCCAGAACAAGGGTAAGTAAAAACCATTCCAACGTTTTTTTTTTCTTATTTGTTTTTTATTTAGCATTAAATGTTTAGGACCAATGCATGATGTACTGACCTTTTCGGTGCTTATGGTAATGTTGGTTTCTGCAGGGCCTACGTGATCCTCAAGCCGGAGTTTGCTTTTCCACTCTCGTACTACCTAATTCCCTTCACTGGAGTAGTTGGCATGATCATGATTGTGATGTGTGTCGTCTTGGTAAGTATGCATAGATGTGACCGCTTCTTACTTACTTACTTACTCACTGTGACCAGTGGTGTCTTACGGGAACTCAAAAAAACAAACCCATCCGTGCACGTTGAGTATCAGTGTAATTCTCGCGTCATCAGCAACACTGTCTTTTTGTTTTGTTCAGATTATACGATGTGTGCAGTACAGAAAAAGGATGAGGAAAAATCGTTTGTCCAAGGAACAACTGAAGCGGATTCCAATCCACAGGTTCTGTAAAGGTAAGAAGATTGCAACGTTTTACTACATTGTTTTTAGGAACATTAAGGCCCAACTGCTGTGATTAAAGTTTTGTTTGGGAATTTTATTTCTGTGATCTGTGGATCTTTTTACTTGCAGGACGGGTTCTTGTTCCAAAATGTCCCTCAAGATTCGAAATAGATAATGTGTCCCTTAAATTTGAATTATTAAAGTTGTTGACAATGTTTCTCCTCTATTGTAGGGGATGACTATGATGTGTGTGCAATCTGTCTGGATGATTATGAAGAAGGAGACAAGCTGCGAGTTTTACCTTGTTCACATGGTAAATATTTGATGTGGTCTTATCATGTTATTGTGTATGTTACAGTGCAAATGTGCATTGTGTACATCTGCCACACTTGCAGCTGCAAGCTTTTGTACTATTTGAACACAATGTACATGAATGTGCCCTTTCTTGCTGGTCAACATTTGTTCCCCTAGCTAGTTTATCTTCAAAAGTACAATATTGTACTCCAAGTGATCAAAATGTTCATACAGCATAAAAATTACCAATTTTCCTACTGCACTGCAGACCTTGTTGCTCACTGCCACTCTTTCTGCTTTGTCAGCCTACCACTGCAAGTGTGTGGACCCGTGGCTCACGCAGACCAAGAAGACCTGTCCTGTGTGCAAACAGCGCGTCACTCGGAACCCCACGGAGCACTCCGAGTCCGAGTCTGAGGGGGAAACCGGAGGACGTGGGGAGGAAGAACGAGGGGAGGGCGGAGCAGACACGGAGCGCACTCCTCTGCTTCGACCTTCCAACCCAGGGTCTCCCTCGGGGACCCCAGGGGCCTATTCAGCCACCACTACCGCCCAGTGCCTCGCCTCCCCCATACTCTGCGACTCACCCATCCTGGGTTATGAAGGCTACCACTCCACCCCGGAGGACACGGACTCAGAAAGTGATGACGCTGCTTTGGGAGAGTACAGGCTTCACACTGATGACGACGACACCGCTCAGCTCATTGGTAGGGACGGAGTGGAGGTCTGATGGCTGGAACATGGCTGCAGTGAGATTACTTAGTTTTACCTGAAGGGGGTCTTTGTGTCATCAGGCGTGCTGTCACACTGTGCGTTTAAATAGTTTGCAGATTTGTGGTTAGCTAGACATTTATTGTAACAGATTCTTTTACCCAGAAACCAGAGGAGGTCTGTTTGTTAGTGTCAAAGCACATGACGCCCTTGCATTGGTGAGTTTTACCAAAACCCTCATCTATACACACACTCTCACTCCTGGACTCCTTTATCTGACTGTAGACCTTCTTTTTTTTTTTTTTTAATGCATGTTTTAATCCGTAACTTGACCACGCCACGTGACCCAAACACTAGCGCTGCACACAAAGAATGGGCCACTGGAATCTAATGTTTGGTATAAATAAGAGTGTGAGCTTCAGCCTGTGTCACTAAACAGAATGAATACTGTGCTCACACTTGTGTACGGCTGTGGTGAGGTTAGTGCAGTTTGAAGGTTCTCTGTTGTCTTAATCCCAATAGTTTTATGTCTGACAGCCCTTTTTTCTTTCATCAGCTTTGTATCTTTTCCTAACAAGGATGTGCATGTGGAGGGAAAATGTTTGTCTTTATTTGATCTTTTATTGCCCGTAACTCTCTTTTGACATTTTTAAAGCTATATTTCAGTTCTTTGACGTGTCCGATTTTTCTCAAATTCCATAGTTAATATCGCAATACTAGAATATTGCAAAGATGTTATACATTTCTGCTGCTTTGTAAATTCTTATTGATGACTATGTGTGATCAGTTTAAGGAAAATATGTTTAGCTTTTTCCAGTTTGTCAAGTTGAACAAACTCAGGTTTTTAGTAACAAATTGAAGGTCAGTCCGTATTGTAAATTCATAACAAAATGATAATTAACAGGGTTTGGTCTTTTAAATAGTTTTAGTCATTTGAACCAGTAAGATGTAGCTTGATTCATATTTAATGGCTGTTTTTCCATTTTTATATAGACGGAATCATAACGTTTTGAGTCGTGGGACCCTGCAAGTGTTTTTAGGAAAAATGAGCATTGCCTTACATTGGCCTTCTTGTACATGTGTATGTTGAATATTTGGAAGTTGAAGGGAAAGATTTCACACTCCTTTTGTTTTCCTCTTGTCTTGCTATAGAATTTAATGCTGCTGGTTAGAAAGCTTTGATTTTGTTCCCTTGTCGGTAAATGTGCTCCACTTTTCTTTTTGTAGCGACGAACAGGACAGCGACGGCCTGTGTTTCCAGATGTTTAGTGCTCGTAGTAACACAGATAGCCAGCTCAGACATGTTTGATTTGCACCTCAATATTTACACGTGCTCATCAGCTGTCACACAAGATATGTTTTGTTTCTCTATTTCATGAAATGACCTGGATGGAGTTCACACTGTTGAATTATATAAAGAGCTGTTAAAAAAAAAAAAAACGTTCAAGCCAAACTGTTTCGCTGCTCCAAATAAATGTTGATACCTTGATCTAACATCGTAAATATACCGAGATTTTTGTTTTCACTGTTGATTACCGTGCAGGGTGTGGACATTTTTAAGCACAGTACAAACTAACCCACACTCTCTATTCGCCTCAATGGGATGATACAGATGTGATCAGTGTTTCCTCTGCGTTCATTTGTCTTTGCTCCACCGCAGTCAGAGAAATTGATCATTTTAATTTAGGGTAACCGTCCACTATGATAAGAATTTGACATTTTTAAGAATTGTTTTATCAATTAGAAAATGTATAACCTCAACTTAATCTATACCACATCGGACCAAAGCTATCCGTCCAAACACCACAACTGCATATGATAACGGAGGAAACACTGCACACGATGCAACCTTCTGTTGATTGTTTCAATAAGCTGCATTTAGTGTTAGAGGGGCATCAGTAGGACTCTGAAGTCATAACATTCCGTCTTTATATTTTTCTGAGGATTGATTAAAATACTAAACACTGTCAACATTTGATTGGGACTTGTTAGCAATACTCTGTCTTTAAAATAGAACAGTTTTTCCTCTATTTTTATTATTTGTACTGTGTGTTTCTTTTCTCTTTTTTGCTCTATATGTCTCAATTTTAGAGACGAATGAAAAAATACAATCCCCAAACTAATTATTCTATTCTTCTTTTAGAATGGGCCTACTAGTGTATCACACATAAATACAAATTGTACAGCCGAGTATGATTTTCATGTATAAAGCAGGTTGGAGAATCGGATGTCTGAACACAGTCTGTTTTACTGCATTTAATGTGTGATTTGTGGAAGATTAAATGATATTGAAACGGGACTGTGTTGACACTTTTTTCTTTAGGTGAGCGAAATAAAAAGTAAGTCACACTTTCCTTCCAGTGGCCTACATGATCATTTAGGTTTATTATAAAGTACATTTTACTAAATGGGTATGTTGTGCGCACATCTTCTACCTTTGTTAAATATTTATAAATAGATATAATAGCTGAAATGAATAAAGTATAATTCCAATACATACTGTTCTGATTATAGAATGAAATACTCTCCATTAAGATTAATAAAGATATACGGCTTTAGATAGTTTCAATATCTTCTTCGCCTTCTGACCCCAGTGTGCTGAGCCGTAAGTTGCAGGAGGTTTCGTTAGTAATAACCAAAAGACTAAGCTTTTGTAAATCCATGACTCACCTCGGAAAATGTTCTGGTAATTGCAGGTCTTTGGTTGTACTGGCATGTGCCTAATTAGCATTGAGCATGGACACCCTGCTGATTTCAGAGTCTTTCAGGTTCTTTTACTCTGATCAGTGAATCCAGTTAACCTTATGATCTTAAATATGTCTTTGTTATTTCCAAATGAACCAATATGTTAATACCATGGGTGGTGAGTCCTAGGCCACATGTCTGCTTTGGGTTAATCAAATACATTTCAATGTCATTTTCACAATGGCAGCATTAATTAAAGTTTACTTTCAAATCTCCACATTATTTCTCATTTTCACAAGTTCTCTGTTTAAAGTCAGAATGTCTTAAATCAATAGAAAAAGAGCTCGTATCAATAATACTTTTGTCTTTTCAGAGCTGTTTTGCTGGCGTGGTCCATAAGTAGTCGCCTGTCTTTAGTTGTAACAGTGATTAAGACTTCCCACAGTTGATGAATTCAATCATTTTAATCCCTCCTAACAAGCTTCATGTCTTTTCATTTTCAACATTTCATGTGCCTTTAATCACGTCACCTGCTGCTTTGAAGAAAAGACAATTCATGTGTGAGCTGAATAAACCTTCTCTAGATACGGTATGTGTGAGTAGGTTAGGCATTGGCTGGATTATGGCCTGTATAGGCTAGTGTGTTTCTTTAAATTTGTTCCATGCAAGCTGAGAAATGAATATTGGGACACCAGACACGTGGACATGGATTGTGATCGACTGAAGCAAAAGAACCTATAAAGAGTTATTCTTCAGTTTGCTTTTGGCGTGTTGCGTTTTGGGTTTAAAGCATTAGAAATATTTGGACCTTCTCTCTTTGCACTGACAAATGCAGTCGTAAGAAAAGATGGCTGGATCCCTGCCGTCATGCTCCTCTGTGCTGGCATCGTCTTTCTTGCTGTTCTTGACTGTATCTTCATTCGTGCTGCTTGATTCCAGAGAAGCTCCTCAAGACTACAATGAGGTAAGGTTCACACTTTTAGTTTGATCCATCCCTTTAATTTGCCTTTGCCACCTGACTCTCATCACTGAAAATGCAATCATAGTGATTTATTAAATATACCATAACAACTGATATTACATTTTGATAAGGACTTCTTGTTTTGTAATCAGTTTGAAATGGTGAATCATTCATTTTTTTTTTTTTTTTACAAATGTGAGATATAATTTGTCTTTATTAAAAGTTTTTTAATGTCAAATGACAAAGCACATTGTCACCAAGTTTAAATTGTCAAGTATTGCCCTTTGTTATTCCTAAAATGTATCTTCAATAGAGCAAGTAATAATTGTTTTCATGTTCATAGTTTTTTTCGGATAGTTCTTACCAACCACACCATATCTCCAGTCCTTTGGAGGACAGTGGGGGACCCGGAGGAGACTTTGCATTTGGATCCAGGGATGGCCAAACATTCCCACAACAAGTGGAATCTACTCGAATGTGGCCACGACTATTGCTGGATTATATGAGGCACCATTCAAAATTCAGAGGAAGGACAAAGAAAACCACGAAAAAATGATGTGTTTAGCAGTTTATTGGATTATGAAAGTAAAATAAAATAGTATAAGAGTTGAATCTATTAAAATATTGTGTGAATACCAAATCCTTCACTCTTGTTTTTTCTTTTACGCGTGTTCCACAATACCACTCACCTGCTGTTAATATTTAATCTGGAAGATAATAATGTTATGCACATAAAACAAGGGGTTCAAAATGACCTGAAGAGATTCTTCCAGAAGGTGATTCTAATATAAGATGTGGGAGACAGAGGGCTTCGGCAGTCTGAGTTTGATAAATTAAGTGTGAGTCTTCCAAAATTATACAATTCTATATCACGTGATGCAGCTCAGCCAATCAAATATGTGTATTCTGACAAGTTTCCTGACTTGAGTGAGATGTACACACACCGTGACACACGGGGGATAGACGAGGACATGTGAGCAAAGCAGGACTATTTAAGTGTGAGATGTGAAAGTCAAATCATAGGACGATTTCCAAAAGAGAAGAATGGCCAGAGAGACCAGAGTCATTAGACTGACTGGACAGACCCATATAGGTGAATTCTTACCACATTAATTTCTCTTTTTAGAAGATGAGAAAAAATATAATATTGTGGATTTTTCACTTCACCCAGAATGAACTGAGTTTAAAGCTGCAGGGCAATTCAGTGAAAATAATTTTTCTAAAATGAATTTCGGTACGTAATACATTTTTTAATCCAGCCATTATTTTACTTGAAATGAGAAGAACATTTATTTATGTATTTCTATGTATTATTTATAATCCATCCAGTTAAATTTGAAAAGTGAGAATAATAATTGATGTGTACTTTCTTTATTTGATTTGGCAGTTGTTTACTACACAGAGACATTACTACTACTAGACTTCTTGAATATAGATATACCCAAATTATATATATATGTGGGTTGGTTCATATATTTGAACAGTGAAGACATATATGTGATTATTGATATGAATACATACATCTTATGCACACATCTGTGATTTACATTAAAATACAATTATTAGCTTCAACATCTTAGACCGCACTGACACCAGTGAGTCAGATATTAGAAACACAACATTGTCCACAAAAAAAGAATAATAATTACATTTGATGAAATCGTGAAGCCATTAAAAAACCGCTTATTGGGTTAAAAATGTTTAATCAGTGTAAACATATTAATTCCCAGAGGAAACAGTGAATTATTATGTAATACTTGCAGACAGTGTGGAATAACGTTACTTTAAGGGGGAAGTTAATAACATTCTGATCCACACTTCATACCAGTTGGTGGCGCTAATGCGCCATTTTGTTGTTTGATTTCCGCCGCTTACACATGTAGAAGAAGACAAGGAACGGGGAAAGTGGGGGAAGAACACGCACATCACTCCAGGAAATAATAATTTTAAGGTATCAATGTGCTCGTTTGTATTGTGTAAAGGTTGGTTAAACTAACAGAGGAGTTGTCGTTCTCGTCTTTAGAAAACGAATAAACGAAGAGTCTCTTGCATAAAACAGATGAGGATGTTTATTTTCTAGTTAGCTAACGTAGCCTGTTAGCTAACCCGCACTACAACAACTTCTCCCTTTGTTTCGACGTGGGACTCTACACCTTTATCCGCACATGTGTAGCAGCTTTCTATCTCATAGTCGTTGGTAATTTGGATGTCAAACTCCATCTGTAAATGTTGTTGTGTAAGACACAGACTTAAAACCAACGTTAGCCGTGTGGGCCTTAATGTCTTCACCTTCTAGCTTTTGTTTCTCCCAATTAAAAATCAATTCCTCCACAGCCGTGTACATGATCAGATCAGCGAATGGTCACATGTTTAGTGTGTGTGTAAGTTAACGTTAGCTTTTGCGACTAAGCTCACAGTCATGTTAACAACAACCCTACCAGACCAAATCGTGACTTAAATGAACTTTCCCCCCCTCTCTTGGAGATGGGAGACAGTGACGATGAGTACGATCGCAGGAGACGGGACAAATTCAGACGGGAGAGAAGTGACTACGACCGTTCAAGAGAGAGAGAAGACAGACGCAGAGATGACTGGAACGACAGGTAAGACGGAGAGATGTGGGGATTCAGCTAAAGCCCATGTAGACATCTCAACTCCAACTAATTTCAAAATGCAACTAAATGGTGGCTCTCTGGTGCCCTCTCACACTGAGAATATTTGTTTGATTTGAATGTTTCTGTCCTGTTTCCTGAAATGAATCTTCCAGAGAGTGGGATAGGGGCAGGGAACGACGCAGCCGCGGAGAGTACCGGGATTATGACAGGGGGCGCCGGGAGAGATTCACCCCACCCAGACACGACATGAGTCCCCAGCAGAAACGCATGAGAAGAGACTGGTGAGATTACCTGCAACACAAAAATTAAGTCTTTGCAACTGTTACCTGCTGTTCTTACGGTCTTTTATCTGTCCCTGGCAGGGACGATCATGGCGGAGAACCTTACCGTGGGGGGTACGATTTGGGTTATGGTGGAGGTGGAGGTGGAGGTGGTGGTGGTGGTGGAGGAGGAGGAGGAGGAGGAGGAGGAGGAGGAGGAGGGGGGCCCAGCTATGGCCCACCACAGCACTGGGGTCATCCTGACCTGCACCTCATGCAGCCTCATCATGGCATCCCTATTCAGGCGAGGTGAGTAATGGAATCAGGGGTTGAGGGAGTTAAATGTTGTTTTACACGTATTTAGGGGTTCAATATCAAACTTTTTGATAATTCCTGCAACCATGTTATGTATGTCTGTTCGTGAATGTTAATGACATTTTAACAAAACACAACAGCCTGAAGAAAACGGAGATTTGACAGTAAGACAGTACGTTTTTCACCTCAAACTGTTTGAAGTACAGAAGTTAGAATGAAAGACGAGCGAGAAAATACATTCAGCAAAATGTTTTCTGTTCTCTCATCACACAAGTTAATGCATAGAATATGAAAAGCTACTACTTCTGTTTGCCCGCTCAAAACTCCATCCGACTTGTGTCTCTTTTCCATCAGGCTCGGTAACATCCATGACATGGATCTGGGTCCGCCCCCTCCCATAATGAAGAGCTTTAAAGAGTTCCTGTTGTCCTTGGATGATTCAGTGGAGGAGACTGAGGCGGTC